CTGTTTATTTAGCTTTACTTCATTTCGGTGAGGGTTTTCTTAATTTCTTGACAGGAAGCCTACACCTGCACTGCTCTACAGATTCACCCAAATGACAGCGCGTTTCTGGCTCAGTGTAACGCAGGTTATATCACTGTTTTCTCTCAGAAATCTCCTTATAAGCTCAACAAATACAAGAGATTTGAAGGACATTGTGTAAGTGACCATTGTTCGTTAATTATAGTGCATGTACAGTAGATTAACCGGTTACAGAGTAGTACATACTGTACTATAAATGATCGTCAATTAACCTTTCTCACGCCGCCATTTTTGGATGGCATTTCAGCCGAGGTCTGCGAAATAAGTCCACATAACAGCGACTTTTTTGGACAAATGATGGTAAATTTGCTTTGTAAATGGTTAGTTTATTTTGAAAAATTGCTTTTCATATTGTTTTAATTGTCTGCATTGGTTAACGAGAATTGGATGCCACCCAAAAATGGCGGATATTCGTCATCGTGAGAAAGGCTAACTTCAACTAACTAACTAACTACAGTATAACTATAACTATAACTTCAACAACTTTGTCTTCACGTTGACTATAGCTGCCTGAGGAGTGCATGAGGACTATAAATTGCGATTAACGCACTCTGTGAGCACGTGAAAGTTGTTCTACAGTATATAGGCACTTCTGTTTCTTGACATACAGCGAGCTAAGGAAGGAGAGTGACAATTACGCGAGGACGATGGCTGTCAACACAACTTTGAATTCTGACTGGCGATATTCTTTAGTAAATTAACACGATGAGTAGTAATACACAATATTTTTTTCATACAATCAAACGTGTCAATGCATTTGTTTGATCATCGTTATTGTGGTACCATCCTTCACGTTGAGTTTACGATCTAGAGTATACATGTACGAGGTTCTACAAGTTATCAAAACAAACCCGGCCAATGCCAAAGAGTAACTATGGTTTTATGGTGAAAGAAAACCTGATCAAAACTCGAAATGTAGAAGTAAGCCTGTCATATCCTTGCTTCAATTGCATGCATACGTTTGAATTAAGCCTTTTAAGATCTCTCCTATCCTTTAACCACACCTATACGCGCTAGGATCAACTTCACGTGTACATCACAACTACTGCATGTACATCAATTCAGGTGCAATGAATTATTTAATATACACATGTGACTTTGCAGGTGTCAGGCTACCATATTGGTATGGATATCAGTCCAGATGGCAGTTTAATAGCCAGTGGTTCATCGGATGGTTCACTATATGTTTATGACTATCGTACGTCGAACATAATCAAGACTTTTACTTTGGACTCAGGACCTTGTATGGATGTCGCGTGGAGTCCGACTGTTCCATGTCTACTGGCAAGTTGTGATTGGAATGGCAAAATATTTCTGCACAGATGAATACTCTTTTAAATGCATATTGCCCTCCAACCATCCTGGGATTAAGGATAGGTATCAGGCGGCCCATACTGTAGTCATTTCACTGCGTTTAATTAAGCATACAATATATATGTCCATATATAGCAACTCTTTGGGAAGCAAGACAAACAGTATTTGGGGGATCATACTGTACGGTTTAGGTTCTGAGTGAATATTTGAAATGAACTGTGCCGAGGAAAGAAGCGCGTAAACGTCTTTGTATAATTGTTGCACTTGCTCCCTTGCGAAATGAGGACATCCTGCAAGCCTACAGTAACAGTATCTATGTTCAGGAACTTGTGCACTCTTGCTCTGATAATAAATCTTGTATATACAACAGATTTTCACGTGTCTTTCCAGAGTCGTTCCTGTTTAACATAAAAATGTCAGCAAAATATTTAAGCAATTACAGTACTGTAAAACCAAATGATGGTAGTGTACATGCGTATACATGCAGTAAAATTCAACATAGTCAGCTAAATACAGAATATGCTTTACTTGGTTTGTTTAATAGCTTCCACCACAGCTTTACGCAGTTTTTCATCATCCACAATTTCAACCAAGGATTTATTGTAAGTCAACAACGAAGATAACAATAAACTACAGTTTAGTAATAGTTCTTCTATATTAAGAATAAAGATAGAAAACATAATAAATAACTGTTCATTTTTAGAACAAATTAAATTCTCATCAAGGTTCTATTGCAGTACTGTATACAGTATATACCTGTAAACTACACTTTAGTAATACATATAAATAATAATATTAAAGATAAACAACATATTATTAAATTACCGTTTTAAACAAAATGTCCAGCAAGGTTTATTTATAAATTGTAAGTATTGTGATGCTACAGTGATGATGGCAATTAGGAATGTTCGGTATAAGAATTTTCCGGTATCGGTATACCGGAAAAATTAAACCGATATTATTGGTATACCGGTTTTTCGCCTTTTAAATTAGATAGGAAAATTCCTTAGTGGAAATTTGAAGGAAATTTTGATTTTGAATAATTTCAAAAGTAGAAACACAGTTTACGATAATTTCGAAGCTGTTGACATTGTTTTTAACACGAAATGTCTACTTATTTTACTTTGCATTTGAGTAAAACAAAAACTGATGATTTCGCCATATGCATGGTGTGTAAATTTGATACGGTATACCGAAAAATTCCGATATATTGGAAATTTCGGTATATCGGTATGACTGAAAAACTCATACCGATAAACCGTCGGTATACCGAACATTCCTAATGGCAATAACCTACAGTTTCACCATTATAGCTCTTCTATAAAGATATTTAACATACCTGATGATTCCCTATACCCTTCGTAATTGTTCCACTAATAACCATGCACTGTTCGAAACCTGTAAGTTGTAATTCTATACATGTATATTATAACGTTTGAATGTTGTGTCTTACCATTCACTGAGTTTTCCAATATAAATATCAAGTTATCTAGCAATGTTGAATGTTGTATTGCATTCATCCATTTATCACGAGTCTCGTTCTTCGAAATCGCCACATGGACAAGTCTAAGGTTAAATAGAAGCTTTTGTAACTTTAGTTCACATTGTTTTTAAATTCACTTCCCATTTCGGCCTAAACAAAAGTCCATCATATGTACATACCAAACATTACACTAAATATAATTTACCTCGTAACTTCAACCAGTATGGGTGCATCCCGATGATCCATCAATATCAACATGACTTCACTGAAAGTCAAAAAGACATTTTGAGCCTAGCTGTCTTTCAATTTGCAGATAGTGTAGATTGATGTACAGTATTAGGCGTACAGTGCAGCAATAGCTGCAAGAGTCCTTGGTAGCGATGCAACTACCTGAAAAATACAAAGCGAAATTCGACGTTTCGAGGCACGTCTCGTTCAAGACTGGCACAGACCGTTCCAGATTATAGGACAGCAATAGCTGATTCGTCCCACTCTGTTTAAAGCGCGGGCGGAAGCAGGAAAGATGGCGGGTGGAAGCAGGAAAGATGCAGGCGGCCCAGCGCTCCTAGCGCGTGTGCTCACCGCCTGCGTGTCCTTGCTACCTTTCCTGCTTCCGCCCGCGCTTGAAATACAGAGACGACTGGGGACGAGTCAGCAGCAATAGCATTACAGGTGAGATGTGTAGAAATATTTCGTACAGCACAGCATGATAATTATACACCTCGCAACTGTCGGATACTGAAGAAGTAGTAGGCGTGGAGTACATAATTACAGGTGGAGCATTCTTATCTTGCACATCATAATATGCTTCTCGTTTACACCTGAGAAGTCTATCAGTTTATAAACAGTATAGTTTTTATCAAACGTTCTATTAGAATCAATGAATTACTTTTTCATTAATAGCTACATACACATATAACATGAATGGCCTTGCAATTGTTATGGAAGGTATGGAATTGTTGGGCAGGGCATTAACTACATGTACTTACATTAGTTTTTCTCTGTTGGTAATATCCTTACAAATATCTTCTTGACAAGCCATGTTCGCCATTATTCCAATTGATATCTCCTAAAATTTACATGTTAGAAGATTAACTCATTTAATACAGAAAAGTAAAAAATAAATGCTGCTGATGAGCTTTTGGCTCTACCGTTATAGTACTGTAAAAAGTACAATTTTCGAATTTAAGCCTATAAATAGAACCAACTGGTTCAAAAAGACACAATTATGTTATTCTGTTGACAACAGTAGGGAAAAGTAAGAGAAGAAGGGACAATGTAATGTCTATACGAGATGAAGGGGGCTACTACAAGAATGTAAACGATACAAAGAAATTTTGGGATGAACCCTCTGGGATGAACCCAACAATGGAGAAATTCGTGGAGTTTTGGGGAGATATGTATATGAGAAGATGAGATTACTGTAGAACCATGGGAGGCAAAGATCAACGAGAAGTTGAAGTGAAGATGTACGTCATATGACTAACCTGAGGAGATTGAAATTTTATAGAGGAGGAATTGGATTGCGCTAGGTATTGATAGAATCCAGGACAGACAGTGGAAGAAGTTGAATGAAATCTGGAAGGTTTTAGAAAGAACAATGAAGTGGGTAACAATAGGAAGGTCACTCATTATTCTGAAAACCATGGAGGAGGAAAGACCAATAACACGACACGTCTTAATAACCTCGTACAAGTTATTTACGGGAATGATAGGAAAGTGTACGAGTGACGGGAAGAGACTTGGTATGAAAGGCAGCCTACTAAACCTTCTTAACCACCGGCGAAATTCGCCGTTTGCCGATCTAGGCATTGTATAGTCATGGGAAATGGGAGAAAGGGCAGATGTGATGGGATTTTAAACATACAGTATGGTAGGATGAAAATACTGTCGTAATACTGTGCAAAGACCTGAAGAAGGGAAAGCAAAGAATATCTGGTTAGTAAATATGTCATGCCCCAAGGAAAAGAACATTGACTAAACAAAAATGATGAAACTAGGAATAGAGAAAAGAAAGGAGATTATACATGGTGAAAGTAGTACCAGTAATAATTGGATGTTTAGGGGCTTGCTTGAAAATACCACCAGAAAAAGATAACTGGTGGGGACTAAAAAATGGACTGGACAATCTAAAACCAACTGTAAAATGAGTTTGACCAAGAACGCATATGAAATGACATTACCTCATACTTTGCATGCAATGTCAAAATTGCTTTAGGAAGCTTCTTTATCGAGATAGAAATGTCAGATGGAGTAAAAGTTGCTAATTTGGACAAGCCTAAAAGGCCAAGATCTTCCATGTACATGTACAAACAACTGTGGAGATAAACAATACCACAGAGTAAGTGTATAGTTATACTATGGACAATATATTAGTGCGCACACGTACAGTATAATACCGATGCCATAAGTCATTATTTGGAGACGAAACGTGAAACAAAATTCTCACATGATGGTACCAACGCCTTGGAGATACAGTATCTTTGAAAAGAATATATTTCCTTGATTATTTCATTGTGAGTACCACAATCACACATCAAATTCCATTGTACCAGGTCCATTACAGACTGTAGATATGTCTTTATACGAGGGAGTGCACAAATCACGTTGTTTTGTCTATTTAGCACATTTTGGCTGTTATTCCAAAGACTATTTGGGTTTACTTAATTCATTGTAGGCCAAAAGTGCTGGTTCCAGAATTGTAAGCTTGTTAACAACAAATGTGTCACAGTATGATAGTCGAGTAAACAAGCATTCACTTTTAAACTTTTACAGGCAACGTTTGCCTAGTACATAATTATACTATTTAAAGGCTGTACAGTGTGCTGAAATTTGTCCACATTTTTAGTCCCCCACCCACGATATACACACATTGTAAATTCTAATTTAACTCACTCCCCATCAAGGCTTTCAGTGACCAATTACAAGTATTACGGTTACTTAATATATTACCTACATATGGCCTACTGTACGTAGCCTAGTAGGCTATTTATTTTTACAACAACTTTGATATTGTTTTCCTACCTATGTTACTATGTTTATACCTTCAATTGTCAACTTTCCCTATGGGAGGGAACCGGAGCATCTGGAGAAAACCCACAACTTTCAGCAGAGAAGTTACACTCTTCACATGAGTCAATAGTGAGAATCGACCCCACAATCTCTGAAGTGATTAACACGCTTGCCCTGACAACAGCCACCAAAGCGCCCTGTGGGAGTGTGGAAATGATAGAAATTGCTTGTTGAGAGAGATAATGATCAGGCAGGTGCTGGGTAGGGTGGGGGCAGTTAGAATAGTGATAAAAGATTCATGTAAAAGCAAGAAGCTCCACTGTGCATACCGGTACTGTATTTGGTAATATATAACATCTTACTGTTAATCTTGATGATTTAGATCCTAAAATGATCTCAAGAAATATATCAACACCATCAACTTCTTGCAGAAATATTGCTACATCCTAAATAACAATAAAATATCACAGGTGTTGTGTAGTTGAACATTTGACTCAATAGTTGTTTTGACTGAAATGATCAGAACTTCTCCAACCCACATCTCAATACACATCCCCTAATTTAAGAGGAAAGAATCTATTGCTTTTGTTGCTTATAATTCCAATATGACAAATAACATTATTCACCACTCCCACCATGGGTCCCTGGTTTTAAGACGTTCAATGTTGTGTGGCAGTGTAGTTTCCAGGCTTGGGCAACAATTCAAGTGAAGACCCCTTGACTGTACACTGTGGGTAATGTTAGTAGACTGTATTGTTTTATGACACTAGTATTATGGTTCCATCTGGTAGTACTGTAATGGTACTACATACAATAGACCTTATGCATAATGATGTCACAAGGTGTGATGTCAGCCAAATGTCCAACCCCCAGGATAACATCGATGTTCAAATTCACTACGGAGGGGATAAGCGAGTCAAATCCCCAGTCTTTGCCTGCATCCCCCACCCCCCATGCGATTTACATTGATAGGTGCATTAGTAGTCATCAGGGTGAGAAAATTCAAACAATCCAACATGGCTAAGTGTCGAATTATTAATGAAAGTGTGCTGCAGCTGTTCATTGTCGTCTCTTAGAGGCTGTTCAAGCCAATGAAGACCCTAGTTCTTTTCAGAACTCTTGCACAGGTCTCCAGATGTTTGACAACCCTGAAAGTAACAGCAACAGTCCGCTTTCATTGACCAGCACTGGTGGCTTTACGTGTTGTGTTATATATAAAGGAGTTATGCACTCAGTTATGTTCTGTCACTTCTGTGTTTCACTGTTTTTATTGTTAGCACTAGATAATTCGTTGGTGCAGGCTTTGGAACAATCAAATATGGCAGCTGGCTCATGTAGGTTTTACGTCCTCCTGGAAATTTCAAATCTTGCAAATATTTGTAATTTTGTATATAATTAATTACTAAATACCTTATTCATAGACATATCCCAAAGTTCACACAATTCTGAATCTAAACTGTCAGCGACATTTATGTTTTCATTATCGCTTTTTATCTGTTGTGTTGCATTGAACAAAACTTTGAGAACCCATTTCCTACTGAACAAAGTGTCTCCAATGTTATCTGAATACAATACATCTGCTTCTTGTTCAGAGATTGGCGGAGGTGAGGGATTTCTGGCCGCCATATTGGAATAATAGCATTATTTTGTTTACATGACGTATTGTCAATAATGATATCGCGTTCTTGCCGCTGCCCAGCGGCCTCTGTGCCAGTGGTGAGCTAGCCCGCTCACAGGCTCTATTATATAGAGCCTGCGACTTTTATTGATATTTTTTCAATACGCCCCCTTTGAGATAATTGAATATCCGGTAAATAGTAGCCAATCAAAGCAAGTTTTGTTAATTAGATTACCAGAGGTTATTAACAACAAAAAACAGTTTCTTGCGCAATTTTACGCCTGTATCTTTCACTAGGATTCCAAGGTCTAAACTTTAATCTAAAATAATTCATGGTCGTTTTTTCCCTAAATTGTTCTAATATTTAAAACATAGTCCCGTTTGTATATTGCTGTCTTGTTCGTACATTGCCGTTTTAAATTATGTAACTATACTACAGAGACGTAAAATTTTACTCTCTATTAGTTAATGTATTTTATATATTTATATCCAAAATATAACTGTAAGATTTAAGGAAACGTATTTAGGTTTTGAACAAAGTAACAAACACTATTTATTAAAAGTGTCGAACAATAGCAGGCTAAAAAACAACATTAATCATTATTGCGTGAAGTCTGTCATTTGCTCAATAATAATTAACTCAATAGACAATAGACAATTTGAAAACCCGTGGCCGTGGCATCGATTCTGCCGTGTTTAATAACTACATTTTTTTGTAAAAAGCTCTTGTTGTAATAATATATGTCACTAGTTGAGACTCCCAAAAATAAAGTCTCAAAGAGAGAGCGGACTTCGGTCAAAAAACAGGCAAACGACTATTGCAAAATTTCCAGGTGTAAATTCAAATTGGCCAGGTGTTCTAAGAACGACTTTCCTCGACGGAGTCTGTTTTAATAATTTGCCCATTGTCTTGACTTATTCAAGACCAGATTGTTTAGGCAGAAAGCCTTGGGTTACAGGGAAGTATTTGGGAGAAATGTTCGGAGGCATTTGACAATCAACTGCTTTATACTAGCTGATTCACTGCCTGTGTCTCAACGAACGTCTCGCTGGGCTATAAACCTTAAGTTGTTCAACGTTTGAAACCGCAAGTGATGCAAACGCAGTTAGATAAATTGTCAGCCTGAACTAGACTTATTTTACTCTCTCTGCAAAGATCAGCAAGGCATACATCGAAGTTTTCCCTTGTACTTCTTTGGAAAAGGTTTATTATTATAGCTGACGAAGACAAAGTATATGGGTATATTATACATGTAAACTTTTATCAAATCCCGTTGGAAGTACAGTTAATATTGCTAACCTTCGCTCATCCTTCAACGTTAATTTAAATTGAAAGGTTTCTCAAATACATTCAGTTACTTCTTCGAAGAGATAAACAAAGTCATGGTTTTATACGCCACTGATTGAATGCCAGCATTAAAATTACATTGCGAAATGTCGTACGAGTTAAATATTTGCACGATATTAACTCATGGGGCACTTCTGACCAATGGGAATTTTGCGTACGCTCCGTACGCATAAATCGACTTTTTACTAATAAAGGTCGCAGGCCGTTCCTCCAATGCAGCCTCTGCCTGACAACGGCCTGCGAGCAGGCTAGTGGTGAGCCGGCGCTTGCAACTGGTTCAACCAACCACAAACACAGAAAAGAGACAAACAGAAGGACGACTTCTTGGTTGGCCTTGGTTTTTCCTGTGATTTTGGCGTAACCGTACTGTAATTAGTTTTATAATATAGCATTTGTAAATTCTGAATGCTGATTGGCTAAGAGCCGTGTTGATATAACTCTCTGACTCAATGTCAACACGGGAAATTTTCCGCCGCTTGAGGTGTAAACACGGAAATTTTTCTTATCCTTCGTGCTTTTGACATTGCTATATTATAAAAAATATATGAAACATTTTTGCCGTATTGATATATAGTTATATCAACACTCGTGGAAGTTGGGAAAACTCGAAATTGTATGAAAACACTCCGCCCTTCGGGCGTCGTGTTTCCATACAATTTCGAGTTTTCCCAATTCCACTCGTGTTGATATTTAACAAATATAAAACATTTTCCGTGTTGATATGTACTATTTACAACATGAGTGGCCGTGTTGTATCGGATATACAACAATAAAGTAAAACTTCTTTCTGTACATTTCTTTGTGCTATCCCACACAATTTCTCGTTTTCCCAATTTCCACTCGTGTTGATATAACAGTATATCAACACGGAAAATGTTTTATATTTGTTAAATATCAACACGGAAAATGTTTTATATTTAAGTTAAATCAAAATGCTGACGACATGGACCTGGCCAGTGCGCTTATGAGAGGCATTCATAAGCCATAGAAGAACTAAAGCTAATCCAGTTCCTTGGATTACCCCACTATCATTTCTATCAAGCAATTAGTAATGAGGGAAAGGGATTATCGTAAAAAAGGCTATAAAATTTAACTCTAGAATACACTAGGAAAAGTAACAGTTTATGCGGAATAAAATCAATATACGAATGAGTAAAACAAAAGCCGATTTCTATCATAGAGAGATTGGAGAGTATGCTAAACTAAATGATTTGAAAAAAACCTGGTCGCTTATAAACACTTTTACTGGAAAGAATAATAAAGCCAACAGTATTACAGAAATCTCTAGATCTGTTAAAGGTGATCTACAGTCCGATCTGCGCATGTGCACAAATTAGCCCACTTTTTATGATACAAACAGTTTAACTATGTTTTGAGTTCTTGAAAAGCCTAATTGTTGTTTCTTGATCATTTATTATACTCTAGAAGCTTGAAAATATAAATAGTTGTCGAATAAAGCTCAATATTTTGGACACAAAAATGTAACATACGGACTGTAGATCACCTTTAATAATCGTAACATCATTACCAACTCGAAATTTATTGCCGAAGCCTTTAATGAATATTTCGTTTAAACATAGGCCTACTGCCCCCAGTCAAAATAAAGTCATGCAAATTATAAACGTATAAATTGGGGGAAATAAATTGGGGAAATAAATTTAAAAAGATGACAGTACATGCAATATGGTATTTGAAAATACCAGAAATATGTAAACGGTAACGAGGAATCGACAAATAGGAAAATATTTTTGTCTACTTCCCAACGACAATTTTTGAAATTTAGATACACGGAAAATTTTATTCAGTGGGTAAAAATTGCTACTTCACATCAGTGTTCAACACTGATCATGATAACCTAGAAGAACGTTCCTCTCCACCATCATCTCCACCTTCAACGTCAGGACAGTCAGACCTCCAACTAACAATAGAAGAAGTCGCAAGAACACTCTTAGCGCTAGACACCACCAAGGCTACTGGACCTGACGGAATACCATCTCGACTTTTAAAAGAAACTGCGTGGCAGATTGCACCTTCCCTCACCCAAATATTCAACAAGTCGTTAAGCTGTGGCGAAATACCTGATGAATGGAAATTAGCAAACATTGTTCCGGTACACAAAAAAGGCGAAAAGAGCCAAGTAGAGAACTATAGACCTATCTCCCTTCTTTCCATAATATCGAAAGTACTAGAACGTTGTGTCCTGAGAAATATACGTGATCATTTGCTGCAATTAATCAATGATAGCCAACATGGTTTTATTCCCGGAAAGTCGTGTACAACTCAGCTATTAGAGGTTCTTGACTATATTGGTTCACTTCTGGACGGTGGCAAGCAAACTGATGTAGTCTACATGGACATGTCCAAGGCATTCGACAAAGTCCACCATAAATATCTGATAAGCAAATTAAGGAACGTCTATGGCATCTCTGGTAAACTCCTTCGCTGGTTTGAGTCATATCTGATAAATCGCAAGCAACGTGTGACTGTGCTAGGAGCTACATCCTCCGCGAGACCTGTCCTGTCAGGAGTTCCACAGGGTTCAATATTAGGTCCCATACTGTTTCTGTTGTACGCGAACGACCTGCCGGATGCAGTAGAGCACTCCAAGATCGCCTCCTTCGCCGATGACACGAAACTATTTAAGAAAGTTGATTCTACTTCCGATGCCATCTCCTTACAAAGTGACCTGAGTAGTTTGGAGAACTGGTCAACATCTTCTGGCCTTGTCTTCAACCAAGACAAATGCAAATGTCAGCGTGTAACAAGGAAAAAGAATCCTATCAAATACGAATATAAGATCAATAACAAGTCCCTGGTGGTCACCGAAAAAGAGAAAGATTTAGGTATATGGATTACGGACACGTTAAACTGGTCTTACCATACCCTCGATCGCTGTGCGAAGGCAAACAAAATGCTTGGTTTCCTGCGTAGGGCTGCAACGGAAATTACAAATGATAAGATACGCCTTTTCTGTACCTATCAATTGTTCGCTCAACGCTAGGTTACGCCACTCAAGTCTGGTCACCACAATCGATCGACTTAATTACGAGGACAGAACGCATCCAACGACGAGCTACAAAGTTCATTTTGAAATTACCATACGTGTGCGGAGAAACGTACAAAGACAGACTGATCTCCTTAGACTTACTACCAATCACCTACTGGCACGAGTTCCTTGACATTATGTTTTTCTTTAAAGCTGTAAACAACATTATAACTGTCTCGAACGAAATCCTTCCGCCGCCAATTATTCCATCAAGGCTCACTAGAACCTCGGTTGACACCAACCTGCTCTCCTTCCGTCCTCGCAAATGTAAGACGCTGACATACCAACGCTCTTTCTTCATCAGAGTAATAAGAACTTACAACTCTCTGCCAGAAAATCTAAGGCAAAAAGATCTCTCACTGGTACGATTTAGAACATTGTTGCTGGACTACTACCACAACGCTGCCAAGACATCATATGATGTAGACGATGCCAGAACGTGGAGAACAGTCTGCTTAAAATGCAACACATCACGAAAACTTGTGCAACCATTGACGTGTTGCTATTAGTACATGTACACTATCAATTATGAGTTTCAATTTATATATTAGTTGTGTGTTTTCTGTATCCAAGGGCCCACAGTAATTCGTTTTAAGCTGTTGTGGTGACCCCGCCTTTTTGTTGT